CACTAATGTGAAAACATGTTTAATAGGAATGCATATATAGAGCCTATATCAGATTGTGCACTGTCTTGGGGAGGGAGGTGGGAAGGGAGAGGGAGAAAAATTTAAAACTCAAAAGCATATGGAAGTGATTATTGATAAATCAAAATAAATTAATTTAAAAAACTGATGAGCAGGCAGACTTCAGAAAAACCTGGAAAGCCTTGCATGGACTGATGCTGAGTGAAGTGAGCAGAACCAGGAGAACATTGTCCACAGTATCAGCCACGTTGGGTGATGACTAATGTTGACAGACTTAGTCCTTCTCAGCAATACATGGATCTAAGACAATTCCTAAAGACCCACAATAGAAAAATGCTGTCCACCTCCAGAGAAAGGACTATGGAGTCTGAATGCAGAGGGAAGCAGACTCTTTGCTCTCTTTTGCTGCTGTTTCATTCTGTCTCTTCTTTCTCGTGGTTGCTCCCAGTGGTTCCAACTCTTCTTTATAACACGACTAATGGGAGTGTTTTGGAGGGCGATGTCCATCCTGAGGGTCACCATAAATGCCAGGGTTTAAAGTGACCCCTTTTTGCCCTTCTCAGTCTCACCCTCACAAAGCACTTCTGGAATTCCCAATCCGACGTGCTCCTCTCCCACAGCCTCACAAGGAAGGCTTCCTGCAGGGGAGGTGAGTGAAGACACTGGGGGGCTTGACGCTCTGCAGGATGAAGTGGCTCCTCTTGGCTTGCACATCACCTAGTTTCAGCGACTTCTTACCACCGCCCCGAAGTCACAGGTAATGCCCAACAGGGTAACGTGCAGCTGAAGCCATGAGAGGCCAAAGCCTGTGGCTTGGAGGATGCCGTCCCACGGCAGGCATGAAGAGCCTTTACCTCCCAAGGACACGTCTCCACGGCAGCCTCTCTGGGGCTATGCCTCCTAATCCAAAGCATTTCCACTGGGGCCCCTGCTTCCTTCTTGAGGGGACTCATCTGGGGAGGGCCACCTCCAGCCTGAGCCTCCCCCACTACTGTTTTCAGGGACGAGATGTGCCGCAGGCTAACCACCAAGCAAGGAGACGGTCTCGGTCGGCCCGCCTGAGGGGCTGGGAGTTCATGCTGACCACACTGAACGTCAACTCCTCAGAACCGACACCAGAGTCACCCGCCAGGGAAAGAAGAGGAAAGAGGGTGGGCAAAGAGGCTGGGAGAATGAGTGCAGAAGAGGAGGACAGCATCCATGAGAGACCCCGTCCACTGGCATCGCTTGCTGCCTCACTCACTACGTCTTAGCTTTCACTTTGGCAAAAAAAAGCTGACAAGGGGCCACTGTCCCACACTCTATGTTTCCCACCCGCCATATCTGCCTCATCTCCGGCCTCTGCCATGGTCCTCCTCCTCCCCCCAAACGGACTTTCCTGGCTGGTAGCACCCTCCCCAGCCCACCACCCCCAAACATCCTGTGCTGACCTGGCTCATCCTCCCAACCAGATCCTGATCTGGCTGGCAGGCTGCCTCCCTGCCTTTCTGCCCTGAAAAGAAGGTCTTGGGGGCCCCTAAGATGTGCCAGGCCCAGCGACACAGAGGTACCCACAGAACACACACGAGGCAAGGGGAAGGGAAGAAGCACTGAATAAGCACCTACTGTACGCCAGGCACTGTGTGCTACCCCCTTTACAGACAGCATCTCTTTTGAACCCCACGACAACCCTGCCAGGCAGGTGCCATGACGATGCCCATTTTACAGTTGGGGACACTGAGGCAGGCCGAGGTTACATGACTTGCCCAGGTTCAAAGTGTCTCAGGCTGTGGCCCTTTTCTTTTTCCTTTGATCTCTTCTGGAGTGTAGAACTAGTAGTGGTATCCACGTAATGGTTTGCTCAAAGGCCAAACAGCCATACAGCCTGTGCAGCCGAGTTCCACACAGCTCTCCAGAATGGCTGGGCCAGTCCACAGCTCCACCAACATACAGGAGTATGCCTGTTTCCCTGGCTGCCCTCCAGCCTTGGTCACTTTCCTTTCTAATAGGGAGGAGGCAGGACCTCAGGGCAGCTTCAGTGGGCATTTCTCTCGTCTCCTGGGATTGAGAGCATCTCTACATCTGGCCAGGAGCAGCCTGTTTGTGACCTGTGATCAGAACCAGCTGGGGAGGAGCCAGCCAGCATTTGTGACACTGGGTCAATAGTCCAGGAGACAACTCAGGAGAAGGAACTGTCCCGGCGGAGCAGCTGGGTAAGCGGAGACCGCGAGGGTCAGTGATGTGGCCAAAGGGCGAGGGAAGGGCCGGCGGTGGACAGTGCCCTCGTAGCGAGGGGTGGCCATCCTGGCTCGGTCTGAGCCTCCCCGGGGAGGAGGGCTTGGTGCAGAAAGCCAGGACGTCGGCTGGGCTCGCACAACTTCTTTTCCACTTTATTTTTAGTTTTTTATCAGAAGGAGGAGCTTTCTGGGAGTGGGGGAGGTGCGGGAGGAGCCAGGGAAGCCCCGCAAAAGAAGATAAACAGATGTGTCTGATGGGTCATGCAGAGGGAAAGGCCTGAAGGAAAGATGCTAAGTTCTGGTGTAGACAAGCTGAGCAGATCTGGGTCCCGTGTGTGTGTGGTCAGTGAACACTAGGGAGGTGGGTCCCCCAGAGAACGGGGTCAGGATGGACCCCCACGAGGAGAGGTGCAACCACGTGCCCCAACAGACAAGATGAGCACCAGGCTCCGCCGACCTGGACGAAAGAGAACCCGCGATGAGGGATGTTGGCAAGAAGGGGAGGGCATAAGGAGGGGAAGCGGGGGGGGGGCGCTTAACAGGACACACCTTCAGAATGCTCAGCAGGGTGGCCTTGGGGGGACCAATGGACTGTTGTTGTAATTCTGCCCTGTCTGACTGTGACTTCATTTGGAGTTTTCTCTTCTTTTGCTTTTTGGCGAGGCAGCTAGGGTTAAGAGACTTACCCAGGGTCACACAGCTAGTAAATTTCAAGTGTCTGAGGCTGCATTTGAACTCAGGTCCTCCAAGGCCAGAGCTCTATCCACTGCGCCACCTAGCTGCCCCTCCAATGGATGGCCCCAACATCATCTTAACCACACCTAACAGTCCTAGCCCAATGTCAAAGACACCAATGGAAAAGCGTCACCCACAAACGTCAAGCAGATGACCTGAGCACCTAGGCTTGTACCTCCATGCTCTCCTCTCCCCTCCCAGGCCCTGACCACTACCGGCTCTTCTCCTGGCCCAGGCCAAGCCCTGGACACAGTCCTACCCAATCCTTCTCCCTGTTCTCTCTTCCCCTCTCCCATCCCATACCCCCACCTCCTTCCCTCTCTCCTCTCCCCTTCTACTCACCCTCCCCCCACACCCCACACACACCACGCCCCCCCACACCTACACACACACACACACCCCTACATACACCCCACACCCATATCACCCCACACCCACATATAAACACCACACCCACTCCCACACCCACATATAAACACCACACACACCATACACACTCCCACACCCCCCACACACACTCACCCACACTCTCACTCACTCACTCCCCTCTTAGAGCTCTGGATTTGACCTCCAAGGAGCGAGGCTGGAATCTTGACTCTGTGACTCCCTTTCCTTTCTTCCAGTGGACAAGGGCTTGACCTCTCACCTTTGTCCTCTTAGGGCCCCACCTCCCTCTACCCCTGAATCCTAACCCGCCCCTGGGATCTCTCCTGCTCCAATCCACCTCCCACTCAACCTCTGTGAGTGCAGATCTGCCCACGTCTCTCTTGGTCCCTAGACAGGCTCCCTCTGGCCTCCACAATGAACTCTCAGCTCCTTGGTTTGGCTCTGAAAGCCCTTCACAGCCTGGTCTAGGGTGGGGCCACATGTGATCCTCTAGGTCTTCAAGTACAGCCCTTCACAGAACAAATCCCCTTCATAAAAGGATCTGTTCTGTAAAACTTGGCCTCAGTCAAAAGGCTGCACCCGAGAACCTAGAGGGCCACGTGTGGCCTCAAGGCTGCAGGTTCCCTGCCCCTGATCCTGGTCTCTTTCCCCTGGCACCCAAACACACACACCACCATCTCCTGTCTCTGGGCCTTTGCCCTGGCAATCTCCCACACCTGGAGCACCCTCCCTCTTCACCCCTGTCTGCTGGAATGCCTCCCTTCCTTCAAGACCCAGCACCAGCAATGCCTTCCACACAGAGATGGTCCCACACCTCCCCGATGCTCGCTGCCTCACCCCACGACCACCTTATGCCGAACTGCACTTATGCTGTGTAGACATAAATATTTACTTCTTGGTCGCACACAGAGGCCCCTTGAGAACAGAGACTTTCATTCCTTGAATCCATCCCTTAACACAGTGCCTTGTATGCAGCAGGCACTTGATAAATGCACGTTGACTAGCAGAGTGGTTAGCGCTTTCAGAAACACAAACCACGGAGCTTGCCTCCAAGTAACGTGATTCAGAACAAGGCCTGATCACAACAGCAGCCACACTGCCCACAGAATGAGTGTTCCACCCAAGAAGGCAGCGTGTTTCACACGGGTCGACTCTTCTCAGGAAATCTGTGCTCAAAGCGAGCTACACAAATCATTGAGCCAATGGCAGAATCCTGGGCAAGCTGACCGGCGCATCAGTGGGGGGAGCGGCCAGGGCACGGCGGGGGGCACCAGGAAGAGGGGGCTCAGCCAAGTGCCCCGGGGGCAGGCAGCCCCAAGGCCACTGGCAGCACGGGGCCAGTGCCACGACCAAGTTGCAGAAGAGGACGGTGACATTTCACAATGCAGAACATGGAGGAGGCCGCCAAGGAGAAAAGAAGGTCGGGACACGTTGGCGACGTGCGCTCACTGAGCACACAGAAGGGCCTCGCCGGGGCATGAACGAACCTGTACCCTTCCAGATGGATCACTCTGTTTGTCGTGACACAAAATCAGCCATCCCACACCGCCGGGACGGGCCGTCGCGGTCACGGCACGCGCTAGCCTTGAGAACTCACAAGAAGGGTCTTAAGAGACAACAGAGAAATGGAATGTCGCCTCTTACCGTCAGCGACGCTCAACGCCATGCTGCCTGAGCCTCTCGCTTCATCAAACTTGGCGAATACTGCCTGTAACCTAGAAACAAAGAGGGAAAGGCATTTGTTCTGTGGCTCTCTCTCCTCAAAGACATACACATACATACATACATACATGTGTGCGTGTGCATATAAATATTATTGGGGGAAGCTAGACAGCGCAGTGGATAGAGCACCGGCCCTGAAGTCAGGAGGACCTGCATTCAAGTCCGGCCTCAGACACATGACACTCACTAGCTGTGCGACCCTGGGCAAGTCACTTAACCCCGACTGTCTCACAAAATAAATTAATTAATTAAATAAAAATCTATAAATATATACGAAACATACAAATAATGCACATATATGGACCGACATACACCCAGATGGATATTTCAAACCAGTTAGCTCGCTTTTTAAAAAAAAAGTCCCTCTTACCTCCCATCTCACCCCCCTAAGAAGAACCCACTTAACATTTCTCTGCCTCCGGGGCCACTTAGAAACTGAAAAGGTGAACAACAAAATACTGCTATCCCACTGCATTTTTCTAGAGAACACAAATGGGGGTGGGGAGGGACAAGGGGAAGGGGCTGGGTCTGGTCTGGCTATCTGGCCGACGAGGGGATCCCTCTGGGGGTGACCACTTCCGTCTTTGGTCTCAGAGATTTGTCTGGGCCAATGAGAGGGAAAGTTTCTAATCAGACCCCAGATCTAGAGCTAGAAAAGACCACTGAGGCCACAGATTACAATTCTCTCCCTTTCAAGATGAGGAAACTGAGGCCTAGGAGGACTGCCTTCCCTGACCCACACGGGGGAAGGATTTGAACCCTGGCAGGCCTTGGTCTCCAAAAGATGAAGCTGCCTCTGCCCAAGGAAATGCTGGAGGGCAGCCATGATCTGCCACGCTCCTGACTCCAAGGCCAATGCTTCTCAGTCTCTGCTTCCGTGGAGACCACACGTCTGGCCTATCCCAAGCCCTGGGCATACATATCACAGGCCTGTGGTGGAAATGGACTGGGCACCTGGCTAGTGGCTAAACCAGGCCCCCCCCCCCCTTGTTTCACAGGAAAATCAACAGCTGAAGCTGATGTTCTGAACAGCAGGGAAACTGAGGCCTATAATGAGCTGAAGTGACTTTCTCTCCCTCTTTTGGCCACAGGGGCAAGGGATGATAGGCATGGTGTCCAGTATGGTGCCTAGCACCTGGTAAATAATGGATGAATTGAACTGAATTCCTCAAAAGTTGGCTAGAAGGCAGGAGTAGATAAGAAATCCAGTTTTTCTACTGACCTCCTCAATAAAACTGTTAATCCACCAAAAAAAAAGAAAAAAAGATGCCCAAGATGGACTTACACAACACAAAAGCGGAACAGTTAGAAGGAAGCCTCTCCTGCCTTCAGGGAGCTGACGCTCTAATGGGGGAAAGGAGCTGGGGGTGGGGGGGAAGGCAGAATTGGGGCAGAGGTGCCCCTCCCATGGCTGGGCCCAGCCCCGGCCTCACTGATTGATTCCTTTGGTGTCTGGCCACAGAGGCTGGCTCTCCTGACACGGCCCAGGCTAGAAGCAGCCCACCCACTTGAGGGCCCCCCCCCATCCTGGCCCGCTCTCTCCAGGGTGTTTCCAGGGGGGATACTTGCTGTTGTACTTTGGCTAAAGACGAGGTGACTTAACGGGTGTCTGCTGAGGAGAACAGGCTGAAAACTGATGACTTGGGTGAAAAACCAAGCCCCATCAACAAAGTCGGCAGAGAGGGGAGAAGGTCCTCTGCCCACCATGAACGCTCAACACACTCACAAGCACGCTGCTGCCAGTATGAATCTCCTCTGCATACACTGGGTGCATAATTGTAGCGCAAGACAGACTGGTGTTCATGACACTGTTTCTTAAACACCAAACATCAAAAAACAATGTTTCTGACTGCCTGTGAGCTCCCACAGAACCAGATCGAATGAGCTCCTCAATTCCCCCCCTTCCCCCGCAAAGGGCTAGCACGTCCTGCTGGTCTACAGAGGCTACGACTGAGCCAGGTCTTCAGGGCGCCAACAGCTGGGTTCAGGCTCTCAGTGCCCTCTGCTCCCATGTGCACCGCCTACAGAAACCCGAAAGGCAGCAGGAGGGCCGCCAAGGTCACGCTGTGGGGGCCTTCTCTGGTCCTCCCTCTAAGGCGAGCACCATCCCTGGGCAGAGCATGGCTGGATCGCTGTCGTGCTCGGGCCCATGACCAGCTGTCTCTAGCACCCATCCATCTCTTCTGTCCTGCCTCCCAACACCATTCTTTCTGTGGAAGGTGGGCTGCCCAGTGCACGACCTCGCACCTCCGCAGACCCCACGGTGCCCCTGGCTAGGTCCCTATGGCAAGGAAGGCAGTGCAGCCCAGTGGGTACAGGGCTGAGCTTGAGTTCTAATCCCATCTCAGACACAGATGCTGACCTGCTGTGGAATCTTTTGTTTTCCTAACCCAGAAGAGGCAAAGGGGGTGGACATGATGACCACTCTACCTCCGGGGTCCTGCCTGACTTCTCATGAGTGACCCCCCTTGCGGCACCTGACATGGTCACGCATGCACTTCCTCCATTCCTCCCCAAGCTCAGCTCCCTCAGCCCCATATTAGGACTCTGCTTGACCCCCTCCTTCTCGCCCACCTACGCAGACACCCACGCATACCCCTCGCCTCCCCAGGAGAACAGGAGCTCACGCAGGCCAGGCTCCCCTCAGCTTCTGCCTCTGGTTCCCCTGACCCTCCTTACCAATTGTCCTTGGCCAGGCTTCAGGCAGAGGGAGCCAAGTCTGGAGGTCGGCATCCCCGGGGATGGAGGAGACACCATCATGCCTCCTTCTGTCCCGCCCTGGGCTTCAGTGGATGCTCCAGGCCCTGTGGGCACACCTGCACACCTCTCTTCTGACACACCCACACCAGGTGACAGGACAGGAGCCTGAGAAACAGGAAGGGTTGAAAACGTCCCCATGGTGCTTACCGGGCAGCGGGGAGGCCTCTCCTGCTGAGGTCCACTCTGACTTTCTCTCCCACATGGCAGTAGATCTCCACCATGGCCAATATTGCAGCATCCCTCACCTGCCGAAGGAATTGGGAGATGAAGCTGATTGGAATATTCGCTATCGTTGTCTCACAAGCACACACAAGCACCTTGGGTCACTTCTCAAGATGTTTTGGCATTAAGAACCCCTGTCGGGGCTTTTGTGCCTGAACCAAGACTGAAAGTCCACAATGCATAAGATGCAGCCCCGGCCTCAGCTTTGGGAAGCCTGGCGGGTCACATCCAGGCATCCCACATCACCCACCCAGGGTCCTGGGTGTCCCCACTGCTGGAACATGGAAAAGACAGAAACCACCTCCCTCTGGGGTCCGTCACTGTCCAGCACACTGGCCCCTGTGGACTTCTGGGATCCACACAAGAGAACCTTGTGGCCCGAGGGGCTCCCGGGCAGGCTCTGGAAGACGCCGCCAGATAGGTCTGGGAAGCAGGACAACCTGCCATCGGGGGCCTCAAAACATCCAGCCACCCCTCCTGCACTAGTTAGGATGAGAGGAGAGAGGAGCAGCTGCGCCTGCACCCACAGGGCACGGATAGGCCCCTCCCAGGCTCACCTGCGCACACTGCCCAGCCAGGCAGCCCCAGGCCATGGCCTCGGACCTCGAAGGCCCTCCCTCCTGAGGTCAGCCTCTCCCACCAGGCGCAGGCCAAGCTCTCGGGGGACCTCATGAGAAGAAAGAATCTGAGAGCTGAAAGGGAGCACCAAGACCACCAAGCCTGGGCCCCACTGGCCAAGGGCTCTGGTAGAGGGAGGGCTAGAGCTGCAGTGCTAGGGCTGTCCCCTAACGTTGGGGGATCCTACAACCACCCCAGGACACTGATGTCAAAGCAGTGCCAGGAAAGCTCTCCCCAACACAAGGTCCTCACCACAGCCCCCAGAACTGCAGATGTGACGGGGCCAGGGCTACGCACTTGTTAAGGGCTGGCCAGGCCTGAGCGTGCCACGTCACGCTGTGGACGCACTGGACGCGTGCAATACTTTGACCCCCAAAGGACGACTGGGCACTGCATTTGTTAAGTTCCCTCCAAAGATCCAGACAAAGGTTCTAGTTGCTGAATTCCCTCCTGGAACCTGGCCACGCCATCCTTCCTGACCTACTATTTTCTGCCAATCTGAGAAGTGGGTACCCACATGGGAACGGTCAGTAAAAACTAGCAATGGCACTGATGCTGGAGCCTCCAATGGAGACCTCCAACTACTAATGACTACTTGCGAGTCGCGTCCATCCACCAGCCCTCTGGTAAAGAGCCGCCATCCCTGCCAGTCCCCCACATGGGCCTGTGCTCTCTGTCAGCTGGGGTCCCCAAGTCTTCCTTCTTTGTCCAGATACCGTCAGGGGACAAGCAGGACAATAGACCCTTCCCACCTGTCACCCATCACTCTCACTATGGGATCAGCCCATACCTAACTCATAACAAAGCAAACTTCTGCAAATCAGAGTCTGTGGGCCAGCCAATGACCAATCACTGGCCGCTGGAGAGAAAAGGGAGGGCAAAAAACCAGTGCCCGCCTTCGACGAGTTGCCAGTCTGACACGCAAACAGCAATGTCTAAACAAGGTACAGAGTAAGTGGGAGTCATCATGAGAGAGAAGGGCAGTGGGCTGGGACGCGAGTGGGGACACAGGGGGAAGCCAGGGGAGGCAGGAGGCAAAGGTGAGGAGAGAGCGTGTACCAGGCACAGGAGACCGCCACAAGGCTGGCGTCACTGGACCCCCACGTCCTGGGGAGATCGGGAAGGACACCAAACGCTGAACAGAGGATTTGGGATTTGAACCTGGAAGTGATAAGGAGCTACTAGAGCTACTGAGCAGGAGTCCTGCACTTCAGGAAAATCCCTTTAGTGGATGAACAGAGGATGGACACAAGGTGATGGGCCTGCACCACGCAGAAGACAGCGTCAGAAGTGAGAACGAGCATCTCAGGGAGACGCTGCTGAGTGAACTCGACAGACCTTGGCACCATCTTGGATCTTGGGGATGAGAGTGAGGAGTCTGGCAGGATCCCTAGGTTGGGAGCCTGAGGGACTGGGGGGATGGAGGTGCCCTTGACAGTAAGGGGTTATGGGAAAAGGTAACGAGTTCTGCGTGGGACACGTTGAGTATAGGCCATCGACTGCACGTCCAGTCTGAGACGTCCAAGAGCGGGCAATGCAACATGGGAGGCCAGCGGAGGGCAGGGCGGGAAAGGAAGATGTGAGTCATTAGTACAGAGATGGCCACTAAATCCACGGGAGGTAACGAGACCACCAAGTGAAGTAGAATGGAAGAAGACAGGAGGGCCAGGACAGAAGCCAGAGAACGCCTAGGGCCAGAGGTGGGAGCTGGAAGAGGATCCAGCCAAGGAGGCCGAGGATGAACGGTCAGAGAGGCAGGAGGACAAAAGTGTCAGGAAAACTGGGGAAAAAAGAACGTAAAGGAGGAGAGGGGGAGCAGCAGTGTCAAAGGCTGAAGACTGGGGCAAGGCCACTGCACTGGTCGTCAAGAGCTCATGGCAACTTTGGAGAGAGCAGCTGAGCTGAACGATAAGCAGAAGCCAGATTCTAAGAGTTAAAAAGTGAGTGAGAGGAAAGGCAGTGTGGACCCAAGTACAGACGGCCTCTTGGGGAGCCCGGCCACAGACAGGGAAGCAAGACATGGGATCCCCACTCACAGGAATGGAAGGATCAAGGGAGGGTTTTCTCAGGATAGAGAAGACCCGGGCACGATCACAGGCTGTAAGGAAGCAGCCAGCGGACAGGAAGAGGCTGAAAATGAGCGACAGGGCAGAGGGGAATCTGCAGGGGAGATGGGATGGACCAGGGCTGGCCATGCCCCAGGAGAAGGGCCACCCTTTCTTCTGTGAAATAGGAGACCGGGTCTCAGCTGAGGGGGAGGTTGGGGGAGGGACGAGGAGGTCTGGAAGTACCACCAGGAGAGGGGAGAGGAAGTCCATACTAGAAGCTGCTCCAGTTTGGTGGAACCTGCCAATCCAGTTGGATTCAACTCCCTTCAATGAGGCCAGCTGGACAGGAGGACGCTCGGCACCGGCCGAGTTCATGATGTTGCCTGCCTTGGCCTCCTCCCTCAACCTGGATCAGAGGAGATCCTCTCCTGACAGAGTCCTTCCCTTAGGAATGGAAGCCAAAGCACAGCAAGGCTGTCATGCGCAGCCAAAGCCAAAGCACACCGTGTTCCAGCAACACAAGCAAGACCATCCCGTTGCCCTTCGGGAGAGGAAGCCATGACAAAGGGACCAGCCCATCCCCCTCCCCAGGAGCAGCTGCCAGGCTCAGGGAGCCCAGAACCAGCCCTTCTGGGTCCATACCCACATCTAACAGAACCCTTGGCAAGGCTGAAATACCGCTGACTCAAAGTGAGGGGTCTCAAAGAAGTCATGGGAACTCTCAGAGGAAAATGAAGCCCCCAATTCCACCTGTGAACACAAACACGTTCCTTACCTGACCATTGGAATCTCCAAATAAGATGCACAAATGTGGCACCAACTTGCTGAGGACTAGCGAGTGTGCACCATAGCTTTAAAACAAAAGGGGAGGGGGAGAAAGAGCTTAGTACATCAACGGAAGAAGCCCAGGTCCACTCAGCACCACGCCCGCCCCCTCTGGCCTCTGAAGGGGCTCCTCACTCAGTTCTTAGGGCAACAGCAGAAAGACGGGGCAAAACACAGCAATCGCCATGCAGAAATCACGGGTGCTGCATGAAACGAGCAAGGAAGGAAGGATTCACATTAATAATCATTTCGGAGATGTAATTTTTAGAAAAAGCCACACGGGAACAAGAAATGCTGCCCGTCCTGCTGCAGAACAAACCCCAGAGCTAGGCTCGAGCTGGTGTCCCCCTCGAGGCAGCGCTGCCCACCCAGGTCACTGGGCTTTGGGGAGGAGCCTATGGCGAGAGCATCCTTAATGCCACTGCCTTTTGCTTTGAAAACTGACGCTGCTGAAACTTCTCCACTGACATAGGCCCTCCCATCCACAATGCGGGTGAGTGCCCAGGGACAGAGGTGCAGGCGGGGCAGGGAAGCCGAGGAGGACGTGCCCAGAACAAGAGCGCCAGAAGGACTCAGTGGAAGGGTGCGGAGGAGGGCAGGGGTGTCACACACGCAGAGGAAGACAGAAGACAGAAGACCTGTCACAGGAAGAAGAGTGAGAGGAGGCAAGCTCACCTAAGACCCCGAAGCAGAACAGAAAGAAATGGGCCCAACGCCAGACCCAAGAGAATCTTTAAAATCCACCAAGACTTGAAATAAGCAAAGCAGAGATGTCACAAATGTTTTAAATGACTCCAAAACAATTCCATGGGCTCAAGGGCCAGAAGCAACAGAGTGAAAAAAGGGAAGCAGAGAAAAGCGCCTGAAGGCCGCCCTCTAAGACACTGTGCACATGTCAAGGGCTGGCCATGTGGATGAAGGAGAGAAGGCAGAGAAGGGCAGGTAAGCAAGCTTGAGAAGAGAACAGGGAAGTGTCTGGAAGAGGCAGAACTGCTGACAGTTTCTCAAAGACAGTCCTGAGCTCAGTGCTGGCCACCATGGACCACTAAGGACCATTTTCCGAGAGCCTGTGGGCTGCACAGTTGGCCCAGAAAACCAAGCCTTCCTCCTCTCAAGGCCCACAGGAATCAGCAGGAAGCTGGGCTGAACTAGCCTAAGGGGTGCACGCACCAGATGACAGAACAGACTCCCCAGCATGGCAAGCCCATCTGAAAAGAGCATTTCTGTCCCCAAGGCCAAATCTCCCCCCAGCCAGTAGAAGATCTAAAATATCTACACACCCCAAAAGCCTCTCCGGAGCGAGTGCTAAACGTCAGAAGCGTGCGTCACTGCTTAAAAACAAAGCTGTGTCTCCAATACCCACGAAAACGCATCACTTCTGCAGCTTTAAAACCCAAGGTAGGGATGGGGGGTGGGGGGAAGGAGGCAACATTATGCTCTTAAATTCTTCCGCTTACATGTTTAAGGTGGCAATAAGACACAGACAGACACCTTCTCGGGACCGATAGTTCTTGTGTTTAAAACCAACAGTCAAGTGCTCCCAAACATACTAGTGGGAAAAAGAGAGAGAAGAATCATGAATTATTGAAAACAAAAATGCCTCTACTACTTCCTCTGCTGGAACTGCTTGTCTAACTCGGCTAACCGCATTACCAGCCAGCCCCGGAACAGATTTTCTCCTCCCCAACTTTGGTGACACGTCTCTGAGCCGCAGCTGCAGGACCCCGTGTGCTTTTTGTTGTTGTTGTTGTTGTTTATTTGTTTAGGCAATTGGGGTTAAGTGATTTGCCCAGGGTCACACAGCTAGTATCAAGTGTCTGAGGCCAGATTTGAGCTCAGGTCCTCCTGACTTTAGGGCCGGTGCTCTATCCACTGCGCCACCTAGCTGCTCCCCTGGGTTGTCATCTACTTAATTTAACCCTGAATTTGGGTTCTCCTCCTGCGTGCAGCCCCTCCCTGAGGAACACCTGACTTGTTCCCAACACTCTCTCTAAGGGCCCCAGAAAGGCCTACAGGACCCCGACCTCGGATGAACATGTCTGACTGTCTTTCCCTTTCAACGCAGCCAAAAGACTCTCTGTGGTGCAGGAAGCATTTCACCAGGCCAGTGTTGCCTGGCAATGGCTGTCCCTCGTCACCGAAACGGGGATCTCTGTGGGACTCCTGAGCCACCCAATGGTGGACTTCCCCACACCATTTTCTTTTTGACAAAGTTCATTTAGACATTATAACTAAGTGATCGTCAAAAACAGGCCCCCAACAGAGGAGAAAGCCAGCTTCTGAAGGAATTAAGTCTTCTCATTTTTCACAGCTCTTTTATTTGTGCCCACCCATACGTGCACACACACACATACATATGCATACCACATATACACACACATCCCCATGCACATACTCACACACACACAGACATCCATGCACACATACCCATAAATGCACACACCCACATGAAGACACACATGCACATGCAGGTACCCCACCCACCCAAACACACCCACACATGTGCATGCAACCTACCCACACACATACATGTACACACACACACATTTGTACCCACCCACACTCATATACGCACACAAACACACTCACGCACATGCACACCCACGCACCCCCCACACGCATGCACACACCCACATACCCACACACACACCCATGCATATGCACACAAACACACCCATGCAAATACACATGCACACCTACACCCACCACATGCACCCATGCACACAAACACATGCATCCATACACATCCATACACACACACACACACACACACACACATACACACACACGGTGCAAACAGTTCCTGTATCCATGAAACATAAGGTTCTGTCATAGAGTGTATCTTTTTTTTGCTTTTTGGTGAGGCAACTGGGGTTAAGTGACTTGCCCAGGGTCACACAGCTAGTAAGTGTGAAGTCTCTGAGGCCAGATTTGAACTCAGGTCCTCCTGACTCCAAAGCAAGAGCTTTATCCACTGCTCCACCTAGCTACCCCTATAGAGCATATTTTTAAAATAACTAATCAGCACATAGCCAGAGGCCTGTCTTAGTGATACTTTTTTCCAACTATCACAGAATTTATTTTCATAATTAAGATATTCACAAGTTCTCAAAATAAACTTTCATACTGAATTCTTTCATGACTATCAGTAATGAGATGGTCAAAGTATCGTGAAGTTCACTGACTGGTTATCTGACCAGCTAGAAAACCATCCAGACTGTGGCTAGAAGCCAAAGGAAAGGCTGGTCTGAAGCACATCCCTCCCTGGATCCATGTCCTGGGGAAGCCTTCAAAGGAAGCGCTACTCTGCAGCTACACGTGGGTGAGAACAGAGAGGCCGCCTTTCCCCAGCCAAATCTAGCCCCTAATCTAACCTGAAACGCTCAAGGGAACAGAAGAGCTCAAGGGGTCACCACGTTATTTTGCGGTGTTTTTGGAAGTCTGGTGTATGACTTGTATTCCAATAGCTGGCTTTTTTATCTGGTCTGAAAAACCACAGGTGGCCTATTCAAATAGAGCCTAGTCCGCACCAGGCGCCGTGCTGAGGGCTTTACAACCAGGATCCCACTGCAGCCTCTCAACAATCTGGGGTGAAAGTTAGGTGCTGTTATCATTTCCATCTTCCAGATCAGGAGACTGAGGGTCACTGGGCTACCAAGATCTTGAGGCCAGATCTGTGCTCACTGTCCGAGCCGAGGACTTTGTCCGCAGGTTTTCTGCCCCCTCCACCTAAGCACACCGTCCTCCTGGGAAGGAAGCCTACCATGGGTGAAGCGGCGTGACCAATGATCTTCAAGATCAGATTCTGCGCCTGGTCTCGGACCTGGTCTTTGGAATCTCCCAGCCGATCTAGTAAAGCTGAAATAACTAGAAAAAGCAAAACAATTAAGGAGAGCGAAGGACAAGCACAGAGTAACTAACAGGTGGGATTTTAGAAATGCATGCTGATACTCACACAGCACCTACTATGTGCTGGGCCCTGTGCTGACAGCTCTACCATTACAATCTCACTGAATCCCCCCAAGCCCCTGGGAAGGGGTACTACTCCTGATCCCCATTCTACAGAGCAGAAAACCGAGGCAGGCAGAGGTTCAGTGATGTGCCCAGACTCTGGGTCTCCGCTGCCCCAAATGCTCCTCCACACCCCACACAGGAGAAGCGGGAGAGAACGGGTCACGGGGTCCAAGGAGAGAGTGACCGACAGCGTCCAAGCTGCAGAGGTCGAGAGGGCCAGGGCTGGCTAGAAAAGCTGGGCAAAGCCACTGTGGGTGAATGATGAAGGTGGAAGCCCAAGAATGGGGGAGAAGGCCTCCTCAGGGTCAGCCGCCTGGAGCCCGGGGGAGACATGCTGGGGGGCTAGCAGCAGACAGGGGACATCGAAGATTACTAAGAGAACATGGATGTGCTGGAGAGAGAACAGTGGAACGGGACCACCTCATGTGAGATGGGGAAGGACACCTGGGTGCCAAGGGAGGCGGGAGGAGCTGTGAAGAGGGGCAGACTGAACCCCTTAACATACATCTGTACTGCCCCTGAGCATCAAGGCCTCCTGATTTCAGTGGATAGAGGGAGGAATCCAAAGGATAAGAGGGCAAGGAGGGAAGCAAAGGGAGGTCAGCCAGTGGACAGGTGATGGCCAGGAAAGAACCAGAGGGTCGGGGGCTGGAGATCTTAGGGCTGGCTGGTGGGGACATAAGACAGAGGGAAAGATGACACCATAAAAAGCAACGATCCCATCAGGAAATTTCTGAGTGGGAGATGGCTAGATGCAGGGGGTGAACATCTCTGGGTGCACCTGAGGTCGGATACCTTAGTACAGGGTGACTGTGAGGGTGGCAACAAACTCCTGCGGAAGGCAGGGGCTGACCGGGAGGTCGGCATGCAATAACTACTGGAGTCTTGAGTGGGGGGTGGCCATGGACTGAGTCACCCTCGAAGGTGTCAGGGGGAGCCGGGACAATTCTGACTCCCCTCTACTGACCAGTGAGCTCGGTGTAGCTAGGGAAGGAGGAAGGGAGGCCAGGGGGCCAAGTCCTGGGGAGGAGTCGAGAGGAAAAGGGTTAGGATGGAGGTCAGCCCGTGCCCAGGCCCAGCTGAGCGTTCTCTCCAGAACCAGCTGACTTCCTCCCACTCAGACACTGGGCATCTGTGGCCGTCACACAACACTCCCATACCTGCACCTCTCCGGGTCTTCTCCAGACAATCCTCCATTCCACGGATGTCCCTTCTCCTCCCACCTCCTGCATCCTACTCATGGACCCACTAGCTCAAATGCACCTTCCAAGCCCTAATGCTAAGCTCTTTCTTGATCTCATCAGTTGTGGGGGAGATCCCCAGTCAAAACTACTTTGAATTGGCTTTGAATTACATTCTGTGCTTGTCAATCAAAGAACACATAGGAAGCGTTTACTATGTCCCAGGCAATATACCATGTGCGAAGGATGCAAAGACACAAATGGAATCCTATCACCCCAGAGGCGTTTGCATTTCACTGATGCTTCCTATGGAAGTGGCTACTTGAAGGAAGCCAGGGAAGCCTGGAGGCAGGGATGGGGAGGGAGAGAGCCCCCAAAGCCAAGAGATGGAGGGGCTTGCTTGTGGCACAGCCAGGAGGCCAGGGCCCTGGATGGGTGAGTGAGGGGCAAGAAGGCCAGGGCAAGGTGACGAGGGCTCTGAATACCAAGCAGAGCATTTGGGATTGGATCCTGGAGGTGATGGTGAGCTGTTGGGGTTTACTAAGTAGAGGGTGACATGATCAAGCCTGCTGGATTTTAGGAAAATCACTGGTGGCTGGAATGAGGATGGACTAGAACAGGGAGAGGGCTGGGGCAAGCAGACCCCCAGCAAGCTAAAGCACCTAACGTAGGTGTGAGGGGCTGGGGGTCTGCCCCCAGGTAGGGGCAGGGTCAGATGAGAGAAAGGTGCTAAGATAAAGTATATACAGACTCAGGGCTATTGTTTATGTGTGGGGGGACATGGATGGATGTGTGTGTGTATGTATATGTGTGGATGACTATATATGTACATGTGTTTCTATATGCGTGTTTGTGCATACATGTATAGATGGTATGTTTACGTGTGTATGCACGTGTATATAGGTGTGCATGCATGGATGTGTATGTATATATGTGCATGCACGTGTGTATAGGTATGTATGCATGGATGTGTATATATGTACGTGTGTTTGTGCATGCGGGTATAGCTAGATAAATATGTGTATACATGTATATTGCATGTGCGTGTGGGTAGAGGGGGGAAGCGGGTATGTATATGTGTATGCATGTGTGCATGGATGAATGTGTATGTATATGTGTGTGCCATGTTTGTGCGTTCAGGTATAGATGGATAAATGCATATATACATGTCTATGCGTGCATGGATAGATTGTGCATGTATATGCATGTATGTATGGATAGATGTGTGTCTGTGTGTGTGGGGGGGTGCGCTCACACTGAAAGAGGGCTTTAAGGTTGCACAGTCTTCTAAAATGGCCTCCCTGGACCCTCCCAACAGGCCTGGGAGAAAGGTGCTCGTTTTCACATTTTTCAGTTGAGAAAGCTCAGGCCGATGGCACAGCAGGGAAGTGACTTGCCCCGTGTGATCCTGTGAGTCGATGGCTGAGGCTGGATTTGAACTCAGATCTCCCTGACTCAGGTCCAGCGCTCTGGGCACTGTGACGCCACCTAGCTGTCCCTGCAACCTTTATGTTTCAGTGCTCTCCTTGCTCTGGTGAAATATGGGCACCCTCTGACCCTGGCTTGGGCACCAATGGGTGCAGTCATCACCTCTGTTCAGACACAGCCCTGAGCCACCTCCAGAAGCCTGGCAACCCGCCCACACATATCTGCCTAGACGTCCTGTCAGCGTCTCCATCTCTACATGTCACCCAAACTTGACCCGCCTCCAAATGCCACCATTTCCCCCCTGGACTCCAGTACTTTCCAGCTCCTAGGTTTACAAAGTGGGAGTCCCTCGCCAGATGGTTTCCTCCTCTGGACTGGGCCCTCCCACGCATCCCGCCACAGAAGCCCAGGTCCCTAACATTTCCTGCTTCCAGCTCCTCCCTTTTCTACCCCATCCTTTGTGCAGCTGCTAATCATGCCCCACTCCGTCTCCATGGCACCTTCCTGCTTTGAGAGTCATAATCTAAATACTGAGGGGCACCACTGCCTAGTGGTTAGAGAGCAGACCTTTGTCTCACAAAGACCTGAGCTCAAGGTCTACCTGGGGTGTATACTGGTTGAGGGACTCTGGGAAAACTGCTTCCATTTTCAGGGTCCCGGGAAACACCTGCATCAATCACTCCAATCAATTAATTAGCATGTATTCAGTGTTTACTATGACCTAGGTAATGTTCTGGGTCCTTGAGAAAAATGAAAAAATATTCATACATGCACAAAATCAATACAAGAAAATTATGGAAGGAAAGACACAGGAGCTCGGGGAATCAGGAAAGGCTTGTATGGAAGGGAGCATCTGGAGGAAATGAGGCATTTTAAGAGCTAGAGGTGTTAAGGGAGTGTGCTCCAGGCCTGGGACACCAACAGCAGAGGTGTGGAGATGGGGGATGGGGTGGTGTGTGAGTGGAGGAAGGGGCAGAGTAGATGAGACTGGAAAGAGAGGCTGATGCTTTAAATACTTTCATCTCTGGATGGGCCCTGCCTCAGACAAACTGAGACCTCTTAAAGACCTCAGCTTAAAAAGGCCAAGGTCTCTCACTGCATCGGGGGCCCTCTCCAGCTGTCCTGGATATCTGACCACTGGACCCAGATGGCTTCAGAGGAGAAAGTGAGGCTGGTGACCGTGTATAGCCCTGCCTCACTTAAATCCAATGCGCTAGCAAGTCATGATATCACCCTCCTGAGGTCCTGGTCCTCTTTAAGAACAGAGGAAGGACAAAAGGACATTCCTGCCACATCACTCCCCTCTCAATAACGGAGTACTAGTGATGAACCCCTAAAAGGCCCTGCACCTTCCTAGGTCCTTGGCATTTGCCTGAGGCTCATCTCAGTAGAATCCTTTCAACTAGCCTTTCATTGTGGCTTTGACCCTGCCCCAATCTCCAATTCTCGGTCACTTCCCACCTTTAATTACATCTAGACCCCTTCTCTGTTACCTCCCTATCAGCCCAGACTACTTGGCCACTGCTCAATCACATCCAGATTTTCCCAGTCTTTTCTGTGGTCCATCTTGCCTCCATTAATTTGCTCAGATTCTTAAAATCTGGCCAATAGCACAGACTCACTAGGAATCTCACCCACCCCAACTGGTGTTTCAATAAACCTTGTCTCTGACTCAAAGAAGGCTTGAGCCGAATTCTTTCTAGACAGGACCCGTTCCTTTTGCCCTTGACTTTTGGAGTTGCCAGCAGCCTTAGACCTCAACACTACGGGTCTAGAAAAAACCCAAAAGCATCAAGCTGCCATCTAAAGACCACCACAAGGGGGCTGACACCAACCCCTCCCAACTTTCACCTCACTCCCCCAAGGACTTTCTCAGTCAAACTGGCCTGCCACCATGACATTCTACCCTTTCCAAGGCATGCTTCCTTTCCCCTCAAAAAAGAAATTCCCTAAATATTTATTTTGACAATTTACAACTATGCTTTTGCAAAAAAAAAAAAAAATCAAATACAATAAGATTATTTAGCTTACCTGAGGGTATGTAGGATTTAAATCTTGTAGACAATCTGTCAATGAAGGCACTTAAAATTTCTAATCCAAGTAATGCCACCTGTAGGAAAAAAAAAACCCAAAACATTAGTGGCTACAAGGAAAACCATAAGTGCTCCAAAAGAGCACATTCAAAATACAATTACGGATTTGAATTCATTCAACTTCCCTTATTTACCAAGGTGTTTCAAAAACCAAGATCAATATTTGTCAGTCTTAAAGATTCCTTTAGAAGGAAAAGTTCAGTAGAATTCTTAAAGTCACAGATTTCTGTCTCCACTGGTTCATTTACATGATGAGCTATTATAACAGTGTAGATTATGGAAAGACTGTGGTTCAGGCCCAAGCTCTGTCCTTGATTCTATAGGAGATCTTACAATAGTAAAACCAAACCACCCCCTAAAAGGGGGTATCATGACCCACAGTGGCTCTAGGCAATTTGAAAGAGCTGGAACCCTGTCAGCTAATCTTCCCCCAACTGGGGGGGGGGATCAGCACCTGAATTGGGGGGGGCAGGGAAGAGAAAGAAAAGGAATTCAAACAGACAGCAAGAGCCCACCCCTGGGTCTCTAGTGCCTAACAAATCCTCAGTCGGAGGAGGGCCCAGCAGCAAACGCTAACGTAGGCAGATCCCAACAGACAAGAGGAGCAAAAATGAGGGGCTTGAAGAGGCAAGGATGAAGAAGGGCGCACATCTGCAGGGACTACTTGGGGAAAATCCAATAAATGGGAGCCAAAGCACAAGCCCATGAGCCAGCCTAGAAGATACAAGGGCAAAGGGCTGAAGGGAGGGGAATGCCCCCTCCAGTCTCAGGCCAACTTCAAAGTAAAGAAGCAGCCCAGAACTTTGGAACTTAGAGAATGAAATGCCCATTGGAAGAATGCATAGACTGCCTCCAGGAAAAACAAAATGAAACACCCCAGGCTGCAAATTCCGACAGAGTTTTTAAATTTAACAATTCAATTCAGAAACAAGCAGGGAGAGCTGAGCCATCAGGAGAAAGACCTTCAAAGACAAGGGAAAGGACATTTGAATAAAGCAAGACTATTCTGCACCCACTAGAAAACATAGAAGGGAAGAGAAGAATGTGTTGGGAAGAACAAATGGAGCTCAGAATGTGACCCAGGGTGGAAATCTGAACTTCACCATATGGGACAAAAGATCATGGGCTAGGAATGGATCCAACCACTCTGAAAAGCCATTTGGAAATCTGCAAACAAAGCGTCCAAATGCTCATCCCCAAAGGTCCCCTAGGCAGGAATGCACTCCAAGAAAGCCAAGGGGAAAAAGAAAAGCCCAAAATACAACACAATTACTTTGTAGCCGCACTTTTTATGGTGACAAAGAACTGGAAACAAGGTAAATGTACATTAATTGGGGAATGGAAAAAACAGACTGTGGAACATAAATATTATGAAATATTACCAAACTAAGAAACAAATATGGAAAATTCTTATTTATATGGCCCAGAGCAAATTGGAGTAAACAGAGCTAGAAAAACAACATATAGTATGACAACAATAAGAAGAGAAAAAGAAAGAACAAAAGAGAGAGAGGGAAAAAAAGAACAAGGAAAGAGAGGCCATGGAATTACAGTAACTGTGATGGCCAAAGATGGTAGCTCACCCAGTCCAGTCATAAGAAACAGCAAGTTTCAGCCCCTCTTCTAAACTGATGCTTTAGACTCCACCTTTTACCCTCCCATCCACACTACTGATTGGGCCCAAGCTGAGACCTTTGCCCCTTACCCCAAAAAGACTTTGGGTCCCATTTGTCTATGGGCCCTAGAAAACTCCACCTTGGACTCTCCTTGAACTCCCACTTGATCGAGGAAGTCTTTAGCCTTTGCCTGTCTATCAATTGGCCTTTCATTATAGCCTTTGCCAATCTCCCAATTTTTTTGTTACTCTTAACCTAGCCCAGCCCTCCTGTCTCTGTTACTGCAATGCTCCCCCACTTCCTACTCTTGATCCTATCTAGACCCCATTGTACTTCCCAGTCACTCCCATCCAGATCCTCCCTAGACCCCTCCTCCAGTCACCCCAAACTACCTGGCTACTCCTGATCCCTCCCACAGTCTTTCTGTATATAAGGTCCAACTGGCCTCCATTAAGGGGATCAGATTCTTTAAGAGTCTAGCCAAGTACTCAGATTCTTAAAATCTAGTCAATTTACCCTAGTGGGCTAGATTTACCCTAGCCCACTCGTCAATACGAGGCTCACAAATGTCTAGATTCCTTAACGGTCTGGCCAATATAGTGAACTTTAATAAACTTTGTCTTTGGCTGAAAGAAGGCTTGGGTTGAATTCATTCGGACAGTAACCGTGTGTTGCTATTTCAGGGTCCCAGTGCCCTTAAGCCTAAACCTCAACACTACTATACCTAAAAGACAGGTGAAAGGTTTCAGTGAAAACAAGGAGTATTTGTAAAACTCTCAGAACAAACAAATCCACCCCAGGACTTGTGCTTGTCTTCATAGCTCCTTCGGTGTCATTTGAAGGCATCATGGTTCTGAGGCCCCAGTTTCTTTTCTTCCTATTAAAATGTTAGCACTACATCAACTCGCAGGTCCTTCGAACTGCTCAAGTAGATTGACCCCTCCAGGCTACGCTGAACTCCTGTGTGTGTTTGCATTTCAAAGATCCTAGGCACTCTTGCCTTTTCATCAGAAAACCCTGAAAGTCCTCTCTTCCACTCAAGGTCATTTTTCCCCATAGGAATATTCTCAGCTTTGCACAGTTAGTCATTCTTGGTTATAAGCCTCTATCTTTTACCTCTTGTAACACTGTGTTCCTAGATCTCCATTCCTCACCTGTGGAAGTCACCTCCTCTCCTGTGATCCTGGCTGTCCTTAACTGCTTCTTTCTAAAGGTTTGCAGCATTTTTACTTTAACCTGGGAGCCACAGATTTGAGCTAGGACATTTCTAGGACTTTTTCCTTTGGGGTCTCCCCCTCAGGGGACCAGGGGAGTCTTTCTATCCCCACTCTGGCTTCTGGTTCTAAATAATTTTTGTTGGTAATTTCTGGGAATATAGCAACCAGGCCTTTTTAAGTCATGGTTTCATGGAGTTCTCTTCATGTGACACACAGGTGGAGACAAAAAGTGGAAGGCATCTTAGTGATGTGAGATGAGAATGAGAAATGGCCTCAAGATTTTCAAAACAAGCCAGAGACTTTGCCTCACACTTAGCAAACTGGCAAAGATGACAAAGGATAAGGACTACCAAAGCTATGGGGAGTCATGGAAAGACAACCCACCAAAGCACTGTTGGTGGAGCTGTGAATGAGTACAACCCTTTCTGGAAAGCAATTTGGAATTAGGCAAATAAAGTGGCTAAAATGTCTATACCCTTGTGATGGGAAAGGCATCTGAACCCCTAAAAGAAAAGACCATGTCTTTGAACGCAACCTAGTGCCTGAATTTTCCTATACATTTCAGTAGCCCAGATCACTGGTCCCTCTGCCCAAGGCATCTGGCCCACTCCAGCCCACCTGGATTACTAAATTAGCTTTCTTGACACCCTTTAGTCCCCTCTAGACCCTTGCCTCTGGACTACCCTACGTCATTTGTCACTCCTTGATCCCATCCAGATTTTCTCACAGTCTTTCTGTATAAAAATATCAGTCCATCCTCATCAAATGCACCGTACTGGCGTCACGAATACGGCAGACTCACTAGGAATGTTGCCCACCCAACCAATGTCTTGATAAAGTCACTATGAACTGAAAGAAGGCTTGAGTGGTCAAATTCTTTCAAGGAAGACCCCTCTCCCTGTACTCTTGCATTTCAGGGTTCCTAGTACCCCAGACCACAACACTATGACAGAGATTCTGCTGCTAAGCATATATCCTAAGAAAGTTAATGACAAAAAGAAGAATCTATATGCACCAAAATGTTTAAACCATATTTTTTGTTGCAATAAAGATCTGAAACAAAACAGGTGCCCATCAACTGGGGCATGGCTAAACAAATTGTGGTACATGGACAAAATGGAATATTACCGTGCTGTAAGAAACAAACAAAAAAATGATGACTAAAGAGAAGTGTAGGTAGACTTGTAAAGAGAGTAAACAGTCAAGAAAACAACATGCATTTTGAATATAACAGCATAAACAGAAAGAACTACAAAGCAAGGAAGCAGAAATCCTGTGAAAATACAAAGCCCAAACGCTGAGAAAGAGATGATGAGACATCTAGACTGACTCTTTTGGGGGGGAGGGGAAGGGAAGGCATCCTATGGCTGTCCACCCTCTGACACTGGCTAGCTCTGTGACCCTGTAAAATGGAGCACCTGTAAACTGTAAAAGAACACCACCTCCTTGCTGGGATATTTGAAAAGCGCTCAGCACAATGCTTGGCACACAGTAGGTGCCGTATAAATGCTTATTCCCCCACCCACCCACTCCAGTCGATCCCTCTCCCCATGGCTCTAGGAAATTACAAATGTCAGAAGTTTTTAACGTACTAATCAATTTTGCTCATTTTTCTAAATCTCTTTTTCTTTAAAAAACTCTTTGCTATATGTGATAGCTGTCTGGGAGAAGAGTAAAGGGTATTAAAAATAAAACAGATCAAATAAATGTATTTCTTTTTATAAAATACACGCTGGGAAGCCGGAGTGGCCCTGAACAGGTATTCTTGCTTTGTTTTGTTTTTCTGGATCCTGCTAAGTCTGGAAATATTTTGGAATTCTAAAGTGTATGGAACAGAGGTCTCTAGAAAGCACAAGTATGCCTAAAAATTCCTGGAAACAAAGTTAGACAAAACAAACCCAGGGAACGCTGGGAGAGATAACTCTCCGTGTCAAGCCAGGCTGTGGGCAGAGCACTGGGCCTTGGGTGAGGAAGACCCAAGTTCACAGCCTGCCTAGAGCCCTAGACACACCCTTGGGAGCGAGTCACAACCTCCAGTCACCTCAGCTTCCTCATATGAAGCCTTATAACAATAGTCCTCACCTCCCAGGGTTGTTCTAAAGACAAAACAAGTCAATATGTATAAAGTGCTATATAAATAGTTGCCATCATCCTCTTCCTCATTGATGTGGAGCCTTAAAGAGC